GCGGCCCGGGCGGCCCCGAGCCACGACCCGCGAGAGCAGCCCACGTGCGAGGCCAGTGCTGTGGCTCTGCAGCCAGCGCACGCCCAGGCCCTGCTCTTTTATTCCTTCCTTCATTCTACCTGAATTATGCCAGCCATCTACATAAGATTTTCCTGTTTATTTATTTAATTTTTTTTTTAGTCTTGCTGTTTAGATGATAATTTTGCCTGAGTCTCTAGGACATGGACTCTTCTAGGCAGTGCTGAGCACTGTGCAGGTAAGTCTATACTGTAGTTGTTGACCTTATGGATAGGCTCCATGTACTTTTTCTATGTGGAAAAGTTACATTTTTGGACCAGTCTTTGGTACTGCTAGCAAGCAATCCCAAATTGATCACCTCTTTTCCCCTTTTGGCGTAGCAGGATGGCGATAGTGAAGCCAACTCCGTATTCCCAGGACTTGGCGGTGGGGACTTGCCTGTCCCCAGCTGCTGGCCGGTTCCTGCACTTGCCACTCTTGCAGTGCAGTGTTGACACACGTCAGGCTTTGCTGCAGCTTTTAATCCTGCAAAGTTGAGCTCTGCATCTCTGTCTTCCCTTACTAGGTTTTCCAGTAACCTTTTCCAGTGGTTCTTCCTGGTGAGGTAGAAGCAGGAGAGGCCAGTGGGAAGCAAAGCACCAAGTGACAATGTGCTTTAATCTCTTTCATTTACTAATCCCGAGTGATGTATTTGGGAACAGTAGGGAAGCAGCAGACAGGAGTGTGGCTTTGAAGCCCTGGGGTGATTTCTGCAGCTTCAAAGGGTTTATTCTTCCCCAGGGGCAGGAGGGGGGCTTTTTTTCTCATGATTAGCACAAAAGAGGGCCAGAGAGGCCCGTATTCATGGCTTTGACACTTATTGTGCAAGGATCCTCAATGCCAATGTTACCTTGATTTCCCGATATTTGCAGTGCGCCAAGAAGCATCTCCCACACCTGATAGAAAGGTGAAACCCCAGGTTGCTCACAGTCACCTCGGTCAACAAGATTTCACCATCGGATTTTCAGTTCTTGTCAAATCCTCGTCGGGAGCAGGAAAACAAACTTCCTGGGGCATCTGCTTGTGCTGTGGGCAGCGCTAGTCAGGGCCAAGGGACACGTGGGGCATCTCTGGACTCCCGAATACTAGGGATTCCCCAAGGGCAGCAGCTCTTTTCCATCGCCTGGGAGGAAGAGGTTCGAACCGGAGCAGGATCTCCCTGTGATGCTGCTTGAAGATGCAAACCGGAGCCCACTCAACCCAGTGCGAACATCCCTCCTCTCTCTTTTTCTCTCTTTTTTTTTCCTTTCTTAATTGGCCAGCACTGGTGTTGTCTCCCACCCGTCCTCTGAGACCTACAAAGCATTTCCTGCTGGTGGTGACTCCTCTGTGCTGTATCTGTTTTGTATTGAGCTAATTAAAATGTTTCCTTCAGAAGAGACTGGTGAACTGCCTTACCCCGCATTCAGCCACTGATCCTCAGGGCATGACTCTCTTTTTGTTTGCACTAAGAATGTCTCTCTCCATTTACATCACCCGCTTAACCCTTGCGGAGCCGCGGCCGCCAGAGCAGCTCATGTCCAGGCCAGGAGCCACATAATTCACCTCAAGCCTCCCCATTAAACCTGTAGACCTATAACATTTTGTAGCATTTCACTTTTACATGGCTGGGTTTTTTTTCATCCTTGCAAAGGAAGCTCAATCAGATTTTGAAGCATTACGAGCACGCTGCTTTTTTGCAACCTGAGTCTTTTGCACAGGGGGCATCTCTTTATAGCAGCGAGCTATAGTGGCGAGGTCCAGTCGAGCTCATGGTGAAAGAAGATGTAAATGCAATGGAAAAAAAATAAGTGATGAAAAACAAAGTTGCACTGTTTGGCCCAATGCTCAGATGTTGTTTTCCCTGGGGAATAGGAACTGGGGCTGGACGTAGCGCTACCTTTGATGCGGTCCTGTTTATTGACAGAGGACGTTAAAAGAAAAAAGAAAAAGAAAGAAGAGAGCCCCGTTGCCCTGAATACGCTCAGGAATCCAGCAACAGGAGCCAGTTTATTTGCTCACGATGCCAAAGCC